AGAATTTCCCATGGCTGATTTACGGGTAAGATGTTGCTAAAAACAAACGCAAAACTCACTGCCATTGAGTTGATGCCCTATTAGCCCCATAGGACAGTGTAGAATTGCCTCTCTGGATTTCTGAGATTGTAACTCTTTATGCAAGTGGAAAGGCCTTGTCCTCTCCCACGGAGCAGCTAGTGGATTTTATACTCTGTGGAGGAGCATAAAATAAGACTTGAATGAAGGAAGAACTATGTTTTGTTTCTGGATTTCAAAAGAATCGGCAAAACAAAAATAGAATACGGTACTAGGGCTATCTGCCCTGCCCCCCCCCAACCAAATGATAAATTCTAATTCAAATCAAAATGTGCATCTAAAGGAAGAAAGGAATTGGCGCCACTCTGAAGTTCATATGCAGTTTTCAAGGCTGAGAGCACAGACGTAGGGGGCCACGTTATTCTCTGTGGAGGGGGCTGCCCTGTGGGCTGTAGGAGGTATCATCGCCCTGGCTTCTTCTCACCAGATGCCAGCAGCATTCCCACCTCCAGCTGTGACAACGAAATGACACTGCCCAGTGTCCCCAGCAGAATGACGTCCAGCTGAAGGTCCTTGGTCTGTAAGAATAATAAGGTCAGAATAGGGAGAAACGTCTGGAAAGGAAGAATGGACTCCCTGCCATCAAGTCCATGCCGACCCATAGCGGCCCTTGCAGGACAGGGGAGAGCTGCTGCGGATTTCTGAGACGGCAACTCTTTAAGCGAGTAGCCAGCCTCCGCTTTCTCCCTCGAAGTGGCTGAAGCTTTCGAACTACAAACCGGGTGGAAGTCTCATTACTGTAGGACGCAAGGGCTCCCTAACCACTCTGCCGTTGAGCTGATGGTGACTTCCAATGACTCTGTGGGCCAGGGTAGAACTAGCCCTGTGCATTTCGGAGGTTGTAACTCTTTAGGGGAAGTAGAAAGCCTCAGCTCAGAGTGAGTGGTGGTTTCAAACTGCTGACCTTATGGTTAGCAGCCCAATGCATAACCGGGATGCAATCAGAGCTCCTTACTAACACCCTCTAGGCATTGTCGTTGCTCCGTGCCATCCAGCGCACTCTGATTCACAGTGACCCCCTGGTCACAGAGAAGAACTGCCCCCAGAGGATGCTCTAGGCTGGAATGCTAACGGGCAGGAGCCCTGGTGGCATGGTGGGTCACACCTTAGGCTGCTAGCAGCAAGGTCAGCAGTTCTAAACCACCAGCTGCTCCCTGGGAGGGAGAGGAAACCTTGTACCCCCATGAAGAGTTATAGTCAGGGAAATCCACAGGGGGACTTCTACCTGATCCTACAGCAGCGGTTCTCAACCTGTGGATCTTGACCCCTTTGGGGGTCAAATGACCCTTTCACAGAGGTCGCCTAAGACCATCGGAAAACACATATTTCTGATGGGCTTAGGAACGGAGCCACCGCTCCTCTCTCCGTCTCCAGGCAGGTCCGCCCACATGCAGATGCGCCCACCTACGAGTACCCAGCGTGAAAACTGTGACCCAGGCTACCCCATGCTGCAAGACAACATTTCAGTTGTTCTTCATTAGAAATAAATATTTCACAATATATAATCACATATTGTTTTGTGATGAGTCACTGTGCTTTAGTTATGTTTAATCCGTAACAATGAAAATACATCCTGCCTATCAGATATTTACACGATGATTCATCACAGTAGCACAATGAAGTAGCAATGAAAATAATTTTATGCTTGGGGGGGGTCACCACCACGCGAGGAACTGTATGCAAGGGTTGCCGCCTGAGGAAGGTGGAGAACCATTGTCCTACAGAGTCATTGTGCGTCACAATTGACGTGATGGCAAGGAGTTCGCTTTGGTTTGGATCCTAACGGAAGCAGCTCACTGGGTCATTCCCGTGGAGCCACTGGGTGGGTTCAAACTTCCAACCTTGCAGGGAGAGGCCGAGAAATTAACCATAGAGCCACCAGGGTTTCCTGGCAAAGCTGTGTTGTTGTTGTTGTTGTTGTTGTTGTTGTTGTTGTTGTTGTCAGGTGCCGTGGAGTCGGTTCTGACTCATAGGGACCTGATGCACCACCCAGCTCTGCACCAGCCTCACTACTGTTCTTATGACGGACCCCAGGGTTGCAGCCACTGCGCCATCCATCCTTTTTAAATGTAAGTAGACACAAGTTTAAGCAGCAGAAGGAGTCCTGGTGCAGTTCAAAACCACCAGCCAGCTCTTGGGGGAAAGTTGAGGCTTTCTGCTCCCGTAAAGATTTGCGGTCTTGGAAACCCACGTGGGGCAGTCCTGCTCTGCCCTGTGGGGTCGCTATGAGTCAGAATTGATTCAGTGGTCGTAAGTTTTGAGTAGGTTATCAGAAGGGGGATCCTAGCAGACTCTAATGTCTAGTGTGTTGTTTGTAAAGGCATCTCGCAGCCAGAGGGGGTAGAAAAGGCATCTTCGGCACTGTTTACTAAAAGGGTCCTGGGTAAGTATTGAGTCAGTGGAGAAGGATATCTGTTAGTATCTTCAGCAAAGAGATCAGAA